GGAAGGCAAGTTTTCCTTTCTTAAGGTGCCACTGTACCTGAAGCGAACAGCCAGTCAGCTACACTGCGTATGTCACAGAGCTTAAGTCCAAGGGCATTTTCCTCCCTTGAACAGGGTCTCACGACTGGCCTAAAACTCACTCTGTAGACCAGGCTGGCCTCGAACTCACAGAGATCCCCTGGCCTCTCCCTCCTGAGTGCTGGGATTAAAGGCTGCACCACCACACCTGGCTATGAATGGAAGATACCCTGAATTCCCAGCATGTCTACAAATGGGCTAGACCTGGTGTGAGAGTATGTCAGGGGTGTCTGAGCAAACTCCTATCCATACATATGACAGTGTCGTACCTGGGTACGCCGCATGCTCTGAGGCAGCCCGAGTTTCCCCTTGTGGGGGTTCCTGAGATGCCTAAGTGACTGTGTCAGCTAGGACAGTGTCTGAGTGCCATTCAGGGCCGTGTGCGTGTGCCTCTGCTGGCTTGGGGTTTGTTTGTTTTCCTCCTAATTGGCTTGTTTTTCCATGTCCAGCCCACCAAACCGCATGTTTTTCCTCTCATCTAGCCAGCCCGCCTGGGCTGGAGCCCCCAGCACGCATGAGGCCTGCCCGCTGGCCTAGAGAGGAGGAGAGGCTGGCTGCCCACACCCCCCCCCAGGCCAGAACAGGCCAGGGCCGCCCTTCCCCTCCAGCTGCAGCCCTGCCTATACCACACCCACACTCCTCCTGCCTGGCATTCAAGGCTCATGGCCTGTCTTAACCTTTGCTTGTGGGATCTCTTGAGGTACCCCAAGTTCTGGACTCTCAAACACCCCCTCCTGCCTCCTACTCACTTCTCCTTGACACCTTTAACCACTGTCCTATGAGCTACTCTTTCCTTCCTAGCCAAACAGAGCTGGGGGCAACAGTGCTGGACCTGAAGCCTTTATCTTGATGACTCTTGGCAGGAGGGGCTGAACAAGAAACTGTTTATTTAAAAATTATTTTAATCTCTAGTTTGTTTTAGCTTAAGATCGGAATGATAGGCAGTGTCCAGTAAACAAACAAGCAAAAAAAAAGATGCTACTAAAAGGAACTTTGTGATCCCATCTCCTAACTCATCAGTAGGAGTTGCCTTGCTGCTATGTGAGGAGTCACCTGAGGGCAGAAAGGTGCTCATGAGAAGGCAGCAGGGAACTGCCCGGTTAAGGAGTCTGCCACCAAAACATCACTATGGCCAAGTTCCTTTGGAAACTTGGAAATAAAGATTGCATGCTTAGCATAAACATTAAATGTCACCGTGCCCTTGGGAAGGTGGCAAGAATTGAGTATTGAGTATTGTCAAACCCAGTCTCTTGTTATTGCATCAAGTGGCCAAGATGATCGTAATTAATACCCCGTCCCCTCTAATCAGATCTTTAGATCTGATATAAGGCAGTAAGAGATAAGTACCTGTTTCAGATGCTACAGCCAGTTCATGTCCAGCCCTCCCCTGAGGGGCAAGGTCAAGGGACTATAGTGAGCTGTATCTAAATGGTCTGGGTCCTGGTCACAATAGAGATGCTGTGGCCATGTCCTGTAAGGACTGTGGATTTTACTTCAAAACTCAACTCCCGTCTAAAGGCTTCTCAAAGAACACAGCACCAGAAATTGGGTTAAAGGCTACCAGACAACAGCCATTACCAACAGCTGTATTCATCATTTGGGGAGCCAAACTGAGAATCAGGAGAGTGGGTAACTGATGAGAGGGTCTCATCCTTCTGCTAAACTGATCTCTACTGTTACCTGGTGCTAAATAAACCAAGGAGGACTTGGTTAGGCTGATCCTTCATTTCTCCACAAGGACAACAGGGCTCACTCCATCTTTGGCTCACATTGAAAACATCTGTCCTGAATGCCATCTTTTCAGTTTAAACAATTTGAAAGGTTTCTTTCCAGCTGGGCTGTAGTGGCACACACCTTTATTCCCGAAGGGACTCTAGCCCACTTGAGCATGTGGCTCTCTCTGGCAGACCTTGCCCTTCTCCACAACCCCCTGTGCCTTCCTAAAAAACTGTTAGATTTGAGTCGGGTGTTGGTAGCACACACCTTTAATTCCAGCACTCAGGAGGCAGAGGCAAGCAGATCTCTTTGAGTTCAAGGCCAGCCTGGTCTACAGAGCCAGTTCCAGGCTCCAAAGCAATACAGAAAAACCCTGTCTCGAGAAAATCAAACAACCAAACAAAACCAAACAACCAAAAACAAACAAATAAACAAACAAACCTGTTAGATTACATTCCTGAAGCTAGACCCCAAGGTCCATTCCTTTATTTGGCCAATCCCCCCTCCCAAGACTGACTACCAAGGTCCAGCTATCAAAGTATTGAAGTCCAGCAATCAAAGGCCCCCTTTGGCTCACCTAATTAACATGCCCTACTAAAATTAAATGCCTCATCTTCACATGGGGCTTCCACTAATTTCCTATGTGCCACCTGACTCCTCTCTACCCAGAGGTCCTTTGTGGTGGCCTCTTCCTCCCTAGGACAAATACCCCTGACTCCTTTTCCTGGTTCCCTTCCCCTTCTCCCTCTTCCTCTAACTCATGCCTTTGTCTCTTATCCCTGCCTTCAGTTCCTCTGGGGCAAACAAGTCTCCTGTGTGTGTGTGCGGAGAATCTGGTCTTGCAGGTCCTAAGCCACTACTTTTCTTTTCAAATCCCAACACCTGAGAAGCAGAGGCAGGTGGATCTCTGAGTTGCAAGTCGGCCTAGTCTACACAGTGAGTTCCAAGATAGCCAGGGCTACACAGAGATACTCTGTCTCGAGAAAGAAAAAGAAAAGGCTTTTTTTCCATGGGAAAGAGCGTCTCCACGAATGTATTTTCACAGTGAGGGTATTTTGTGGGCAGTCCTAGGCAACTCTTTATTCACATGGTTGTCCACACTGCTCCCTGACAATGGGCAAGGGCCTGCTCCCAGTGAATAAAAAGAACTATCTTTAGGCTGTGGGGTAAATTAAGTCCAAATGTGATGAGGCCAATGACGCTTGACTCTAGCTCAGGAGAAAGATGGAGGATTTCTAAGCATTCACTCTGTTCCGGGCCCCTGCCCGCCTGCCCCTCAACTTGTGACCTCATCACCATGCCTTCCCCCATTCCTTTTCCAAATCACATTCTTCTGTGCCTCAGTCTACCTTCCTGCTGGCTCCTTCTCCCATCAACCCCTCACACACTGGTGGGGTCTTCAGGGTTCTGAGTCTTCTCAACTCACCAGACTTTCTCACCTCCAACCCATCACCACTTCCTGAAGGCTCAACATCCATACTTCTCCAACTCCATTCTCTGATCCCAGGTCCTCACCGTGTCTCCTGCGCCTTCTACGGCCTCCTTCCTGCTGTTGTCTTCCCCTCCAACGTACTTCTCTTCACTGCCCGAATCTGAGTCTGACCATATCACCCACCAGCTCTCGGTGACCATGATCTGTGCTCTGTCACTTCCCTTAGTCCCGTCTCCATTTTCATCAACCCGAGTGACTTGGAGGCCTAATCAGACTTGGGGTCTGGTCAGATGATGTTTTCAGCTGGGTGTGGTGGCACATGCTTTTAATCTCAGCACTCAAGAGGCAAAGGCAGGCAGATCTCTGTGAGTTTGAGGCCAGCCTGATGTCTATTTTGTTAGTTCCAGACCGGCCAGGGTGGCATAGTAAGACCCTGTCTCAAACAAACAAATAACAACAAAACTACACATAAAAATAAATAAAAAGAAAGAAAGAAATTCTGTTTCCATGTATCTTCTAAATCTGGAGTATTCATGTGTCTCACACTGTAGGATGCCTTTTTCCTTCCCTGGGGCCTCCCAGACTGCTCCTACGTATGATGTTCTTATGTCCTGTTTCCCCCCTCCAGCACATTGACTATCTCCTGTGAGAGCAGACTTGGTGAGACCACTCAGGCTCAGAGCTGTGACCCTAGGATCCCTTTCTACCCACCAAGCCTTGCCAGCCCCCCTCTATGTCATAGGGGACAAAAGGACTTCAGGATTTAAAGACCTTCATAGATATCTGTAGGATATAGGTTAAGTGATCAGGGTTTGGACTCATTGAGCAACATGAGATTCAGGGGTCAGAAGAACAGGTTAGGGTAGGATCAGAAGGTAAAGGTCAGGCTGCAGCCCCTCTCCTTCCCTCCCAACAGGAAAATAAGACATCCGGTAAGAGGTCACAGTCCAGGGTAATACTTACAACCCACATGGAGCAGGACTTGGTGGCGCAGGTGCCAGGAGTCACGGTGGAAACAGGCATACAGGCCACTGTGGCCCAGTTCTAGGCTTCGTAGTACCAGCTGAGAGCCATTGAGCAGGTCAGGGGCCAGATCTGTCCCATTTACCCTCCACGTCACAGCTGCTTCCCAGCTTGCTGTGCCACATGGCAGCATCACATCTGAGCCCAGGCGCTCATACTGCACATGGGGTGCCTCTGTGGGGCCAGGGAGGGCATAAACAAAAGTCACAGGTCAGAGTGCTACCTGGCAACCTCAGGTGATCATCAGTAGGGGAGACTGAAGGGGCATGGGTGAGTCGGCAAGTGTCTCTGCAGATGGGGTCTGTGCAGAATGTCTCCGTGGCTGTGCACATGTGTAAGTGTCTTCATTTGGTCTCTCTGTGGGGTGAGGGTTGTGTGTGTGTAGCATTTGGAAGGCTCTATTCTCAGGTAAAATTCAGTCTCTGCATCTTTTGCAAAGTTTCCTGACCCCATGACCTATGACCCTAACTATGACTACTACTTTTTTTCTTCTTTCTTTCCTTCCTTCCCTCTATCCTTTCTTCCTTCCTTCCTCTCTCCCTCCCATCCCCTCCTTCTTTCTTTCTTCAGTTTTTCAAGACCGGGTTTCTCTGTATAGAACCTGGTTATCCTGGAACTCTGTAGACCAGGCTGTCCTCAAACTCACAGAGAACCAGCTGACTCTGCCTCCTGAGTGCTGGGACTAAAGGCGTGCGCCACCACTTCCTGGCTGACTCTACCTTCTTGCCGTTAAGAGCTCAGGCCATCCCTCCCCAGGAACACTATTATTTGGACTGAAACATCTGTCCTGCTTGCTGCCTCCGTCACTCTCCCTGTGCCAAGATCCACATCTCCAGGTCTGTCTCCTTCACTGACATTACAATGGTGCCATAGGGTGCCCCTCCTGGACTCTCTTCTCTGCCTCATTTCTCTCCCTCATTCCTGTCTTTCTGTCCTGTCTCTTTCCCCTTTCTTTCTTCTAGTCCCCTGGCCTCAAACTCTGCCCTCTCCATACAATCTCCCTGCCCCCACGTTAACCATCCAGGGCTTGGGCAGCCGCAGAAGGGAGAGCAGGCAGGCCTTGAAGACATAAGCCCTGGGGAACTCCTGGCAACTGTCAACTTTGTGAAGCAGAAACTGCTTGTAGTGGGGAGGAGGCTGGGACTCAGGGAGTGCTCTGTCCATTCCTCACTGCCCCCAGGAGGAGCCTGTCAGAATGAAAACCAAACTCCTGCCCTGGCCCTGGCAGCCCAGGCCAACCGAG